CAGGGGGATACGTTGCAATTGGGACTTTGCTCTGTTCGTCTCTCCTGTCACGTCATGTTATTTCATATTTTTCTTATACTATATGCTACTTTATGGATATAATTTCATATCTATATAATGTATATAACTTTATATATTTTTCTTATGTTATATGCTATTTTATGTATATAATTTCTTGTGACAAATCACAATAAACTTAAACTTATAGATAGTTTGGACCCAAGTATGAAAGAAGGGCCACCCTTTATGGTTAGCATGGAAATGTTGATCTGTGAAGATGAAACAACACTGTTCAAATGTTATTAAGATCTCAATGAGGAGATCAAGCACTTGATAACTCTTTTGGTTTGGTGCAAGTAAATTTGGAAGGCTCACAATGCACTAGGTAGACCACATTCAGCCAATGACTGATTACAAAGTACAAAGCTTAGAATAGCCCCAAATTACAAAGCTTACAAAAGCCCCTGATTACAAGTTGTAATCCTAAAAAGTCAGCCACTCTTACAGACGGGAGAAAATAAGCACACACATTCACAGAATAAGCTCTTTTATTTAGCAGCTGTATTACATTTTTTGAGAGGAGGTTTATTTGGTCTTCTGTCTGTAAGTCATCACATCAGAAGAAGGACATGGAAAAAATGCAAAAGAAGAAAATAAATTTAGTGACACCTTTTATCTTCACTTGGAAGGGAAACAGTCACAACCACCTATTAAACAGGTAATATGGATTGGAAAAAAATAAATATACAGTTTGAAAGAGTTCAGCTGACTGTACTAAATAACTAAAATGCACAGTGGTCAACCAGGACAGAGAGGAACAAAAATATAGACAATCTACAAGGGGAACAGTGCTCTCAGTAACCAGTATCTCTTCAATTGAGAGAAACCTTACACTATCATTACAGTTGACGAATATTCAAAGCTAAAAAAAACAACCTAACCCAAAATGAATGTAATTTTTTTTAAGTTGTAAATTTCTGTTTTCTTTATTTGCCTCGCAAAGATAAAAAAAAAAAAAAAAAAATTTGAAACATCAACCCTACCATGTATCTCAAAAGACGTCAAAGCTAGGTTTGTCTTTAAATCCTGAATTAGCACTAACTAACCAGTTCTACGTGATTTAGGTGTTATCAACTGAGTTGATAACGTAAATTGGCCACAGCAGACTTTCAAAGCTGAGGTTTTGGGCATTAGACCTTTGTCATTTGCTCTGACATACATACATTTACTGAAGCTCCCTTTATAGGGCTTTTCAGCCACAATATACTAAAATTACAAGATAAGACAAAGGAATGAAATGTAATAACTAATGAAATTAACTACAAGGGAAATAAAGATAAATCAACTTTACGTTAAAAGCATATTTACAAGTCTCTTCTTAAAAGTACCAGAGTTCACTACTTCTTTAAGGTCTTTGGGGAGTCTATTCCAGCAGGCAGCCCCTCTATAGAAGGGGCTTGCGCTCAAAATGTCAGCTTTGGAACTCTCTAGAGTGGCCAAATTACATTATGAACTCAGTTCATAAAACCCTGATTACCTTGTTACACCCATCAATGCAGCACCACAGTTTCTTTAGAAACTTACCCCCCCCCCTTTATGAACCTGTACTTGCCCTTGTTTTACTGATTTATTGATCTCACCTAATCTTCATCCTCTTCCTCAGCATCAGAGCCACCACCTTGTCCCTTCCTCATGTTCTTTCTCTTCACACGACCTGGGCGCCCTCCACCGTATGGTGAATTCAGAGAGAAATCAATGTGCTTTTGAGAATCCAGACGCACAATGTATGATGGGACATTGACAAGCTGTTTGCGCACACTGGAGAAAAAAAAAATGTTAACTTCACTAATTTAATCCAATGGCTTGGGACAACTTTTTTTTAACTGGAGTACTAGTACAAATTACATTTGCAGCTGAACCCAATGGAAGATTCTCAATGTGTTGCTGACTATTGCAATTTTGCAATTATTTAATGTTTGTTTAACAAAATTTCTTTAAATAGTGCCCTGCCAAAGGCATTTTTAAACAAGTGTGAAGAGAAGTCCAGGATTTCTTTGGTTTCCATCACAATGTGACTTGTTTGGGAAACTCAGCACAATTTCTCAAACAATCAAATTCAAAACTGAACCTAATTCATTTACAGTTTCTCAAGCAGTCTGTTTGTTTTCTACTTTACTTTTTCATTGGGTACTTCTGATATTTTCCTTTCTTCTGTTTGTCTGTTGTGGTAACTTAAGTTTTGACTTTACAGTACAGTCAAACCTCAATTATCTGGACTCATTGGGACCAGATGAAATAGTCCAGATAATTGAGAATATGAATATTAATGAGAAATAAAACTGATTAAATTAAGAAAGCGACATTTAATCCTGCAACAAAACATTTGAAAATCATTTTTAAAAAGATATGGTCTACCATCTTCACTGTCCTACATGAATACCTCTATACCTCTACACCTCTACACCTCTACATGTGTGTATTAGCGATTAAAATTCATGAAAAATGTTTTAATATTGGCATAAAATGTTGAAGTCAGTCAGTTTGTCTTAAAGAAGAAAATCGCCTTTACTTCAGTTTTCAGTGTTGTAGTTTTCAAAAGAATATAGCCATGGATCTTGATCATGACTAATAGTTATTCATGTAAACACTGGGACCAGAAATCCAGAATCAAGGTCCAGATAATCGAGGTTCGAATGTACTCAATCTGACAATGCACCATACAACTTAGTTGTAACGTAGTCACATTAAACAGGGTTCGTACACTTTTGACCTGTTAAAATTCCATGAGTTTTCAAAAGATTCCATGACCTGTTTGCAAACATTCTCACAATGCATGCTCCTGTTTATTTCTAATGAAATTAAATCTGAGTTTTGGACTCGTCAGTTAACTTTTCAACTTAAGGTCCTAATGCCTTTCACTCATAGATAGCATATTGATTTTCCATGACTTTCCATGACCCACACCTAAATTTCATGACTTTCCAGGCCTGGAAAATGAAATTTTGAAATTCCATGACTTTCCAGGTTTTCCACGACCTGTACGAGCCCTGTTAAAGCTGTCAAAATCCTCTTCATTTTCCATAGTTAGCAGCTAATTAAAAGTATCTTATTCATGCTGTCTAGCGAAAAAAAAAGAATCTAAAGTATTTTTACTGCATTATCAAAATTACTCTTGTATAGTACTTCAATACTAGTATCAAGTAATGTTATTGCCAAAACACTTTTTAAGTGTTGGAAATACATGACCTAGGCGAGAAAACAATTCCAACTTCACCTCTGAAATCAAGTAATAAATAAATTGCCACTAGTATTACAGTACCAACAAAACTGACCACAAGGACATACAATTGCTCTTTTAAATTGTTATACTGGCATGAAGTGCAACAGGACCTTTTAACCAAAGATACACAGAAGTTAGGAAGCACAGATTACGAATGTCATAATTCAATCTGCTCTGACACAATTTGGGTGAGAGTAGAGTGGAAAAAAGTGTTTACAGCCAAGTGTCTGTGTATGTGACGAAATAGTGTTAAAATATAAACGATAACCCAAGAAAATGGTGCATAACACAATTCCCGAGTACGTTTCTTTAAGTTACTCGTCTAAAGTTCACACAATGCCAAATAATCCTTCCTATGAACTGAAATAAATCTTAAATTCTCTGGTAAATAACAGATTTCAATTAACAGCGTACGGATCGTATCGTAACTCGAAATTTGCAACGATCAGTCAACCGTTATCTTAAGCAATAAGATATACCATAAAGAGAAAACACAAAACATAAGATATTTGAGTAGTCACGAAGAAAATTCAATTTCTTCAAAGCTTACCGAATGTGTCTCTGTCGAATCAACACACGAGCGTGATGAATACTCTTCGCCAAACCTAGCTTGAACACTTGCGTTTGAAGACGTCTCTCCAAGAAATCTTCTATTCGCAGACCCAACACGTAATCGAGCTTCATTCGTCCCTCATCGAGCACGCCAATTCGTACGAGACGACGCAAAAGAGCATTGCCTTCGAACAACCTTCTCTGATCTTTCTCCTCCAACGTTAGGAGTTCTCGGGCAGCCTTACGGATCTTCGCCAAAGTGTACTTCACACGCCATACCTCGCGTTTGTTACGAAGCCCATACTCTCCAATAATCTTTAACTCTTGATTCAGACGCTCTTTCTCGAAGGGACGCCTGGGAGTCGTGTAGGTTTTGCTACACACGTTCTTCGCCATCTTGCTGAAGAAAAAAAGGCGACGAAAAGGAAGAAGGCGGGCGGCCGCAAAGCATTTCACCACGTGTAGGGAGAATGGTTAATTACGTACACCCCCCTCTGGAGTGAACTGCTCTAGATACCAGTGTCTCTCGATACCAGTGTCTCTCGATCTCAAGAAGTGTTTCTATTTTTCTGCTTTCTGAAGATAAGCGATTGTCATAAATTAAAGAAATTACAGCAAAGAATCAAGTTTTACGCTTAGAGTTTTACCCAATTTATAGTCATTCCCGTGAGAGCTTTCATTTTTTTTGCTGAGATAATGCCTACCCTTTTTCTCAAGGTTTAGACAGAATTTTTTTTGTAAACAAAAATTAACCGAGTAAAGACTGTGGAAAAGTAAATTGACAGGTCAGATTGAGTTTGAGCCAATCACTGGAGCGTATGGAGATGTCTAATCGTGAACGTCTAGAAACGTTATTGGCAACCTGTGATTTTGATCAGGTCCTTCAAGGGTGTTAGAAAGCTAACTACACATGCGCATTGCGTACACGACCAACTCATTTGCGCTTTTGGGGGAACGCATATTACCATGAAATAAATGTTGACAAAGTTCCCGGTCTCCTTGGATTATTATTAAAGGTTACAAAGAAGTTAATAAATAGCTGCTAACTACAATGTTTTAGAATATTTAAATACCTAATCAATACCTGTTGCAAATAACAGGTTACTATACGACAATAGGTCAATATCCACTGAAAAAAAAACCTTAATTCACAGATGGCTTTCGAACCCGCCTTTCTCACTTAACAGGTGAGGTGATTTAAACTTTGAAGTTCCGTTCAGTCAGCGATGAAAATGGAACTGAGAAACCTGAGCTATGTCGACTCAAATGTTTCGTGGCAAAAGTATACGATCACAGCGAAACCTAGTGGTTGTTCTCATGGTATCGTTGTTGGGTGGCATCGCTTACGGTAGGTGAAATAACTTTTCACCAAGGTTTTGATCACGGGACTTTCCAATCTTACAAACATTTTATGTTTCAGTAACACCCTTCAAGAGTGAATATAAGAAAAAAAAAAATCCTTGTCATCACAGGGCGCTTTCCTTTGAATGTGGAAAGGGGGGCCCAAGGACGAGTTGTTGTAGTCCGTTCCTAGTTCCCAAGTCTCTAAGTAGGATCGAGGTTCAAGGTGATCTAGCAGACGTTTTTCATTTATTCAAGTTTACTGCTTTGCACATTTGAATCAATCCATGATCATGCAACCTACTTTTTCGTTAAAATTACGTGAAGATCACCCTTAGCCTCGCACCCGTTCAAAGGCTTGGTAACTAAGCATACAGATTGGCTCCTGTGATCGCCAATTTAAGGGAAAGAGATTACAGATTGTTAAACTGTTCCATGAAAAGGATATATACAGTAAATCATCATTTACTAAGCCAATTATATCTCGAAGATTTTCCAAATGCGCGGACCTTCCAGGGACGCTTATTCCTTTCCTCCCTTACCCGGTCCCCTCGCCTGCAAAACAATCTTCACTAGACAAGCACAAAAACGTCCCAAACAACAACCGTGACTTTCGCGTGATCAAATAAGAAAAGCGCAAGATAAAAAAAAAAACAAGAAATACCTCTTTAGTCAAACTTCATGATTTCACGGCCGTCTCAGGTACTCCAAAATGTTTGATTTATTAATTCAGATGTTCTTTGATATTTTGAATGTATTGGATTTTAGGCACGTGTGTATGTAAGTATTTGGTAACCCATTCCTTCATAGGTCCTACACATAGAAAAGAAAACATAAAGATCTTTTTCGACTTTTAAGCGCATGAACCATTGATTGCTTTGGTGGGGGGGGGGAAGGACACGCGAGACTGGCCATATTTGCGAGATAGCCAGGCACTTCCCTTTTAGACATCTGCGAGAGAGGTGCTCCTTTATGAGCAACATCACTCGTTCTTCTTTGAGGAAGAAGTTTGAAGTTTGAAGTTTATACACAGCAGTTCGAAAACTGAACTGCGTAAAAGTTCAATTATTCAAATCTTATTATTAACTAATCTATCTTAAATGAAAGGATGAAAAAAGCTAAACGAAAGAAAATCAAAATAAGCAAACTTCATTTAACTTCCGAGCTTTTCATATGTTTCTTTAAATTCACAGGCATATTTTCCATTTCGAAAAACTCTGAAGTACTCATTGATTCAAAATCGGCCTGCCTCAGAGAGGCATTTTCAGACACTGTTTTGGTAATTGTTTACAACTATCCTATCTACTCAAGTATACCAGCGCTCACTGCCTTGTATAAGAATGCATTTCCCACGATAATGTTTTGCGGACCGCGAACGACTGAGGACTACATAATTGAAGCTCTGTACATTCACAAAGGATACTTCTCCTACACGTGCATGTCACGTGCCATGGAGAAACATCCGGGATATACAGGATATTTACTTATCAACGATGACGTATTATTAAACTATTGGAACTTAGTTGGTTTGGACCGAGACAAAATCTGGGAAGGGCCAAAGGGAACAATACTACTATTTAACTACACTCAGCCAGCAAATTGGTATTGGTGGAATTCCACATGGGGAACTAAAACCTGTCAAAAGTCCTACGATGAAATCTGGGGTTTGGGCAAGTTCTTGAAATATGAATGGTTACCAAAGATGGTTGATTCGGATAATGACACCGACGCACTGAATGCAAAGGTTCACCCCTGGAGCATGATATGGGACATGGAAGGGTCGATAGATATTTTGAAAAAGAATGGAAATGGCACGCCGTATTGTCATCGTGGTCGCTCCGATATATTTTACATACCTGGTAAATTTGCGGAAGCGTTTCAAACACTCTCCTATATTTTCTACAAGCATCGTTCATTCTTAGAAATTGCAGTTCCCACGATGTGTCGGATGCTTGACAAGGCGGAAAATTTTGAGTTTATTCCTGGGATTTACCTGCCCGGAAAAGCGGGAGAGCCTCTGGTTAGGAAGGCTGAGCACTTCTGGAAATCATATGACGAGACCTTGGCGTTCGTTCATCCGTTAAAACTTAACTATAAACTTGACGGAGCCCTGAACATGGCTTTGCTAAGAAGCAGGATCGTGAAGTACAGTGACAGGGTTAGTAAATGCTAAAGGAAACTGACGTGAAGGCCCTTTCCTAACCGATAACCTACTTTCGATATGTTAACTGAATTCAGACAAGGTTTAGAGGCTTGGGGGAAATCACATCGAGGTTGAGGAATGAATGATAAATTTCTTTTATTCTATTCCCCCTAGCCTCGGAGACATTAACAAAAAAAAAATAAAATTAACAATTTTATTTTTTTTTATTTTTATTTTTATTTTTTTATATCGAAAATAGCATGCTCAATCAAATAACTGACAAATTGGTTGCCTGTAACACTTTTATTTGAAAGTTTCGAGGTAGAAAAACAGCGCTAGGTATTTACTTCTACTTACTTTGGACGATGTATTTTAACTACAATATCTACAATGTGATTGCAATATCTTAACAACAAACAGTTTTACGCAAGAACGTACAAAGAAAAGTGTTGCCTGGTCCCTCAGCTGAATTTGTTTTTCTCTCAAGGAAAAGCTAAGGCGAATCTGTATAGATAAGGACGATTTAAGATCATTTAAATTAAAGACCTTCAAAAAACTTGTGCTTGGCAAAAGTTCATTCTAAAAATTGACAAAAGATTCTTGTGGGAAGAATTTGGCTGTAAAAAGATGAGATTAAAATGCATTTTCATATTGATCCTTTATTTAAAAACATGCGAATAATGTCTTCTTTACACGGCTGTCTTCCGGTAAAGACAGGTCTGCGTTCCAAGGAGTGGTGGTGTGGTGTGGGAGGTGGTTAAAACCTTATCAGCGGACCTAGCAGTCAAATCAAAGTTTATTTACTTAGGGCCCCGAGAATCAAATAAATGTTATGAAATTGATGAAGTTGGCGACTATCGTCCCTCTCATATGATTAGTGGAGACTCTCGACCTCCCCCAGTCCCTCCTCCCGCTCCTTCCTCACCCTCTCCCCAACCCCTTCTCCTCTTTCCCACCCCCTTCCCCTCTTTCCAATATCCCAATGCGTATGTGGGATACTTAAAATTTATCAATAAATTTACATAGCATGAAGAGATTTTAATAAAATCACAAAGAGGGTTTAGAGCAACTTCAGAATACCCGTCCACCTCATTTACATGTGTCGGGAGGCTTTGAAGAACGAGGCACAACGCAATAGACGCTACGACATGTAAATGATTGGCCGGGTATTCTGAAGTTTACTGTGATCATTATGATGTCTTCCATGGAAGAAACGAAAGAATTGAAATATAAATACGCTAATAGTACTCCTCCATAATATAACTCATGCATCTTTTACTCGCTTCATAATGTATTCTTTGATAATGCAATATTTGTTTTGCGAACTTTTGTAAACACTGAATTAAATATTCTCTTTAGAAGAGATGGTTAGCGTGCTTACGTGATGTTACAGGTGTTGTCCAGTTGCTTAAATTTCCGCTTCTTGCCACGTCCCATTTTCAATCTTGCCTTTGCAAACTTCTTCCGCCTCTTCTTTCTGTTTTTATATATCAATGCCTCAAGTATATTCGAGAAGACTCTGTCCACTCTAAAATTTTTCTTTGCCGACGCCTCGATGTATTCTCCTTCGAGAGTAGACAGCACTGAAACAGCTTCGTACCCTTGACGTGCGGTCACTTCGCGCTCGGTAACATCTATGTCCAACTTGTTGCCAACCAGAATAACAGGTACAAGGTTTTCAGTGCCACCTCTAAGCGCAGAGATTTCTTCCATAGTTTTGACAGCTTCTTTAAACGACACTATGTCGTCCACGGCGTAAACGACGATGTATCCGTGGCTTGAATTTAAAGCCAAGTTCCTCATTTCAGGAAAGGAGTACGAACCTGCAGTGTCCACGATACAAAGTGTAAAGTGCCTCCCGTCCAACACAAGTGAGTGAACATAATAATCATCGACAGTGGGAATGTGTTTTTCTTCAAAAGTTTGATCAAAGAACGATCTCAACAACGCTGTTTTTCCAACCCCCCCACTGCCAAGAATTGAGATGCAAAAGTCAAATGGCGGAATTGCGGCATACGACGCCATTTTCAAAAACTCGTTCTAAACAGATCTGTCGCAAATTTACCCGTGCATAATTTTTCAGTTGTCCAAGACAAAAGCACCAAGGAGTACTTCGGCTTGATGGCTTTCTCTGGTTAGGAAAATTTTGTTTCAAACGTTCTTGAAGCGCTTTTCACTCGTGCCTTTGATAAGACATCAAGTTTCGCAAGTCATCCTTCGTTGTTTTCTCTGGAGAGAACTTTTGCGATCGTCATTTTTATAGAACCATCTACACAATTAAAATTCATCACGTTCCCGAAAACGGATTTCCGCCAGTTGTTTCACGCCGCCAAAATATGTTGGTCCCTGGTCGGGAAATGTAGCACGATCTACGGGAATTCTTAGCATTTCTTTTCAGATATTTTGTCGCACATTTTATTTTATCATGTACTGCGAGATTGATACCTTAACTTGCGATTCGAATCTTTGATCGAGGGCATTCGAACAAATGCCATGCAATCACATCGTTAGCAAACCTTCTTAATCACTGACAATGGCTTTTTTTTTTAACAGGTGGGACGAATAGACAGAACTTATAAAAATTACATTAAATTCAGAAAACGGGAATACCTGTTAGCCCATTTGGTCATTATTTGATATTGATTTAATTGGAACTACGCACATGATATTCCTTTGAACGAACGTCCAGTTTTTTTTAATTGACTTTCAACACAACTGAAAGGCACTAGGTTCACCGCAGTTTCCTAATTTCTTTTTGTTAACGCCTTAATACCATGACCGTTTTCTGAGTGCTGGAACTCAACAGGGCTATCTCTTGTACCCCTTTTAGTGTCTTAACTAGCGTTTTGACTCTTTTCTGATAGCATTTTTAGTGCTAGCGGGTTCCTGTCCAGTCCCTTCACCGTGAGCATATCCCTGACTTTGACACGAGAAACAGAAACTCGATGAAGTTGCACGTTAGATTAGCTTTCGCTTACATTGATTTATTTATTTACTGTTTTTAAGTTCAAGAAGATACTGGACTAATTGAATATTCTGTTTTGATGCTCAAATATTGTTCCCACTCTAAGTTCACGGATGTCTCAATCGGTTAATTTATTCGCGGCCAAATATTACGGCCGTTACTGCGGCCGAAAAGAATAGTTGCACCTTGACCTGAAATTGTGTCCGTTGATCCTTGCGTGATCGTGACAACTCCAATTCTTCGATTTGAAGTTCTTCTATTGGGCTAACCGCCTCCCGGTTAGCTCAATGGATAGAGCGCTGGACTGTTATGCGGGAGGTCGGGGGTT